CGGCCAGGAGAGGACACGGAGGACGAGGAGGAAGAGGAGGAGGAAGATGAATCCAGTGACTCGGGAGCAGCTGAGGAGGAGGGAGAAGCTGAGGGTCCCTCTTCCATCCCATCCACAAATCCTTTCATCAGGGGTTGGGTGTATCGGCCAGGAGAGGACACGGAGGAGGAGGAGGAAGAGGAGTTCAGTGACTCAGGAGCAGCTGAGGAGGAGGGAGAAGCTGAGGCTTCTTCTTCTGTCCCCCCAACAGGTACCTTCTTAAGGGCCTGGGTTTATCGGCCAGGAGAGGACACAGAAGAGGAAGATGAGAATGAGGAGGATGATGACTCAGAAGCCACTGACTCGGCGCTGAGTCCCTCCCTTCAGGCTCAGAGCGCCCTCCTCAGGGGCTGGATGTATCGGCCGGGAGAGGACACAGAAGGAAGGGAAGTTGCTAAGCAGCAGGGAGAAGCTGAGCCCCGCCCCTTCCGAGTGGCCATCTATTTACCTGGAGAAAGGCCACCACCTCCCTGGGCTCCCCCTCGGCTACCCGTCCGACTGCAGAGGCGACTTAAGTCCACGGAAACCCCCACCCGGCATCTTGACCCTGAGCCTCCCGTAAAGGCCAGAAAGGTGGGTGCTGAGGGCTCAAGTTCTCCAGTCTTAGGGAGGAGCTGGAACTCTGATCTTCCTTCCTGGAGCTCCTGGGCTGGAGCGGGGGAGGGGCTGAACGCCCCAACTTCTGGGTCCCCTGTGTGTTGCAGAGGGTTGCATGTGAACTCCGCTGGGAGGGCTGTGTTCACGGTAACGCAATCCTTTGCAAGAGGCTGGGCCCCTGTGAGGAGAGGGGGCAGCTGTGGTTCATTGTCAGCATCAGGGAACCAACCGCCTCCATCTGCAGGGGGCCGGATCTGGTGGGTGAATGGCTAGCAGGTGACTAACCAGATCACAAGCATTCTTGTGTAACTAATTTTTGTTTGGTTCTCTCTCTCTTTTCCCGGTCCCTTCCCCCCGCCCCTCTCCCTGTGGACATGTGCGTCTTGTGTCTGTGCTGGTCCCCCTTCAGGTACGCTTCTCTGAGAAGGTCTCTGTCCATCTCCTGGCTGTCTGGGCAGGACCAGCCCGGGCCGCCCGCCGGGGACCCTGGGAGCAGCTAGCCCGAGATCGAAGTCGCTTCGCCCGTCGCATTGCTCAGGCCCAGGAGCAGCTGGGCCCCTGTCTCACTCCTGCTGCCCGGGCCAGGGCCTGGGCACGCTTTGGGAACCCTACGCCTCCTCTGGCCGCCACACCTGCCCCTACCCAGATCTTACCATTGTCCTCCGTCCAGGCCACAGCCTTGAGCCCTGTTACGGCATCTCCCTTCGCCCCTCTGTCCCTGTCTCCCGGCTTAGACCTCAGTGGGAGGCGTGGCTAAGATCATGTAGTTTCATGTTTCTATTAATTATTTATTTTTTGTATATTGTTTTATATAAGAAATAAAACTTTGTGATTTGTAGCAAGCAATGTCCCTGCCACTGTGTGTATCTGAACTGACAATCTCCACTACCCTCGGGATAAAGGGGAGTACTCAATAGAGAATAAACTGTATTTCCCATCATCACTCAAATTTGCTTCTTGTCCTGAGGCTTTTGAACTAAGGGCTGGTGGGTCTTGTTAATTTTTCTTTGGCCTCTGCCTAAATTTTATTAAACTTGGGACAGGGGCGCCTGGGTGGCTCAGCCAGGTAAGTCTGATTTCAGCTCAGGTCATGATCTCCCTGTTGGTGAGTTCAAGCCCCGCATCGGGCTCTCTGGTGTTGGCATGGAGCCTGCTTCGGATCTTCTGTCCCCTCTCTCTACCTTAACCCCACCCGTTCTCTCTCTCTCTCAAATAAACTTGGGACAGTTATCTCCCCAAGGGGGGCTAGGAGCTGGACTCAGTAATCTCAAAAAAACAAAAAAACAAGGGTTCAGGGGCACCTGGGTGGCTCAGTGGGTAAAGCATCTGACTTTGGCTCAGTCACGATCTCACGGTTTGTGAGTTCAAGCCCCGTGTCAGGCTCTGTACTGATGGCTCGGAGCCAGGAGCCTGTTTTGGATTCTGTCTCCCTCTCTCTCTGCCTCTCTCCCGCTCACGCTCTCTCTCTCAAAAATAAATAAACGTTCAAAAAAATGGGAGGGGGGGTTCATTTCTAGTCCTCCATGCCTCCCCGGAATATACCCATCCTCCTATTGGCCATTTAAATGGTGAATTGCTTGAGGCTCCCAGCTGTCCAATTTCATATTTATAAGCCCTGTTCCAGAGATTGTGACTAACAGCACATATGTTACAGGATTGTAAGGCCCCAAAGAAGTTCTTACTGAGTGATTTTAAGTAATTCCTGCACCCAATGTGTGCCTTGAACTCAACCTTGAGATCAAGAGTCATACCCTCTCATGACTGAGCCAGCCAGACACCCCAAGATGTTCATATGTAAAACAATCCTTGCCAGGGGTGCCTGGCTGACTCGGTTAAGCAAATGACTCAGCTCAGGTCATGATCTCGTGGTTCAGAAGACTGAGCACCATGTTGGGCTCTGTGCTGGCAATGGAGCCTGCTTGGGATTCTCTCCCTCCCACTCTGCCCCTCCTCTGCTTGTGCTCTCTCTCAAAACAATAGATAAACTTAAAACATAAGTAAATAAAAATTGGGGCGCCTGGGTGGCTCAGTTGCTTAAGCATCTGACCTCGGCTCGTCATGATCTCAAGTTTTGTGAGTTCGAGCCCCGCATCGGGCTGTTTCCTTTGGGTGCAGGGTCGGCTTTGGATCCTTTTTCTCCCTCTCTCTGCCCCTCCCCTGCTCACACGTGTTCTCTCTCAAATAAACATTAAAAAGGTAAAAAATAAATTTAAAAAAAGCTGGCAAAAATAATCCTTGCCAAATAACAAAAACTTTTTTGAGCTTTATTTATTTATTTTTTAACGTTTATTTATTTTTGAGACAGAGAGAGATAGAGCGCGAACGGGGGAGGGTCAGAGAGAGAGAGGGACACACAGAATCTGATACAGGCTCCAAGGCTCTGAGCTGTTAGCACAGAGCCCGACGCGGGGCTTGAACCCACAAACCATGAGATCATGACCTGAGCCGAAGTCGGAGGCTTAACCGACTGAGCCACCCAGGCGCCCCCAAATAACAAAATGTTATACAGGTGTTAGCCAGTATTGTAATTACTCTCTCACCCATGCATGTCTTGAATTCAAGTTTGCCTCCAACTCAGAAGACTTTTCTGACCTCAGATCTGTTCAGCAGTTCAAAGAAGAATGGCCCAAACATCCTGTCCTTTGTCCAGCGTCGGGCCCTGCCCCCTCTCCATTGCTTCCCCAGGCTTTCATATTCCCAAGCCAATCAAGTCTCCTTCCACTTTAAGACCTTTGTATAAGCTATGCCTACCCGCCTGATATTCCACCCCCGACCCCCTCTGGCGATTCCAGAATCGGTCCTCGTGATTCTTAAGATGCGTTTTGATTTTTTGTTGTTTAAGACCCACCTCCCACGACTCTGAGTCCCGGGAAAGCAGGTGCTGCTGAAAAGCCCACTCCCTGAATCACACGACTGGGCACCCAGGCAGCGTACGAGGTGTTAATAGTAAGGTGGTGCAAAAGAAGGCGCACTGGGGCCTTTCCCCCAATGAGCAGGCAACAGAAGCTGACGAGGGTATGGTATTTCATTGGATTACTCACACGCCAGCTTTCCATCGAAACTGGACAAGCAGATGGCAAAGGCTTGGAGGGGGCAAAGCGGGAAGCAGAAGTCCATGGTGAACATGTCTGGGGCCACGCGGCCGAACTGGAGCACGAGGGCATCGGCTGAGGAGGAAGTCAGGATCTAAGCCCAGCCCCACCCCTCAATTCCCTTCCGAGGTCCTCTGAGCTTCCAGAACTACACAAAGGCTGGGCGGCGCACCTGCTAAACCCAGAAACCCAGGGCCGTTTAAAAAACTACATTTCCCAACAGGCTTTGCAACAGCATGGACTCGGCCCAGCCTAGACAAACGCTCAAATGCTGATGGGAGATGTAGTTCTTGTCGGCTCATGCCACCCTCCAACCTCCCCTGACCCCCCCCCCCCCGGAAAACGGTTCTTAGGAGCTCACGGGCATCCGGATGCACGATCTGGAAGTTCTTGACCGAGGCCCGAGTGACTCGACCGTGAAAATTGAGTACGTAGGCGCCGCTCCTGTAGCTCCACCAAGGGGCTTTGTTTTGTAGCAGGACCAGTCCCTGGCTAGCTCCCCGTTGGAGGCGACACAGTAGTGACTCCTGCTCCTAGAAGATAAAGTAGAGGGGGTGTTTAACCTACCACCAATGGGCCTTTTTCCTCCGGATGCAGATTTTTGAGTCTCTAGTCTCTCTTCTCTGGGAAACATAGAAGTCTAACAAAGTCCTTCTGGCTTCGCATATGACCTTCTGCAAGCCATGGGCCCCCTTCTCCCTTAGGACCTATGGCCAGTCACCCAGACCTTCCTCTCCCACTGACCCAGACAGTCTCAGCCTTAGCCAACTCACGTTTTGTGGCTGGACGCGGAGTCTCTGGTTCTGGTCATCGATTCCCGGAATGATCACAGTCATTTTCCGGGGCCCTCGGAATCCCAACACGTTGGTCTCCTGTGGGAATTATGCTCCAGTTGGCCTGGCTCTTTCTCCTCCCCACCGCCCTGCTTCATTCTCTCTTGTCTCCAGGAAACTCACATAGCACACAGCCCCCAGCTCCTCTCTGATCCGAGTGGTCTCCGGGACAAAATTCTTCCTTTCAGGGTTCACTCCATTGTCAAAGATGGTGAACTTGGTGCCCAGGACATTAGATCTGCTCCAGGAGGGGGGGGGTGGTCAGAGCAAAAATAATAATTAGTGTTTTGCTGTACTTTGAGTGCTTTCCCATGTCATCAACTCTTCCCGTTAACCCTCTGCTTGAGATTTAAGTTTTGTGTTCCATGTATCCACAGTCCCAGCCCCTTTGTTTCTTTGATAAGCCATGACTTTTAGCCTCCTGCCTTGGCCTTCTGGAACCTTCTTCCCCCAAAGATTCAAGAATGCATGCATTACATTACATCCATACATTACAGCCCTCTCCCACAGGAACTTAGGAGTCCCACCCCCCCCCGCCCCTCCCGAAAGTAAATTTTTTTTTTTTTTTAAGTTTACTTATTTATTTTGAGAGAGAGAATCCCAAGCAGGCTTCACACTGTCAGCACAGAGCCTGACTCAGCGCTAGATCTCACCAACCATGGGATCATGACCTGAGCCGAAATCAAGAGTCCAGGGCCTAACAGACTGAGCCACCCAGGCAGCCCCAGAACTTGTCCTAAATGTCAACCTCTGCTCCAAAGCCCTTAGTTCTCCTATTCCCAACCACCCTGGGGCTACCACGTGAAGAAATAACAGAAGCCATCAGTCTAAGACAAAAGGTCCTTGAACAGGTGGAGCTTGTGCTCTGTGGCCTTCTGGGAAATGTAGTTCACTTGCCCTTCTCCCCTGACGCCGCCCCTCCCCCGCCCCCGTTTTTCACACATATCAGGGCTCTGCCCACCTGACTTTGCCCACAAAGTTGTCCCCATCCCGAGACAGGTCTGTGGGGTCCAGGGAAATGAGGTAATTAGAGGTTTTGCTCCTTTTTCTCTTGCGTCCAGCCAGGAGGAAGTGCTGTGGATAGGAAAAACAGCCCATGGGGATTGATTTCTGGTATCCGGCTAGGGGCAGGGGTCTAAGACAAGGAAACACCACGTCCCCGTGACAGAGGAGAGGGTAATGGAGCAATAAATATCTCAAGCCTTGCTGGGAGATGTGGTTCTCTCTGAACGAAGTCATCTGCTAGGTCCGGAAGCGGCGCTTCACATCTTAATATCTCCCCCTCATCCGTTCCGCAACTGGGACTTGGGTCAGGGCTGAGCCCAGGCAGAGGGCAGCCCAACTGTGGCCAGGCTGGGCCGCTTTGGAGAATAGGGAAGAGCCTCAAGTGGAACACTGCAGGACTTTGGTAGGCATTTCACCGGGGAAGAGCAAGTCTGGCACTACCCAGAAGGGAAATAGCCTCTTTTAGGGAGAGTACTTTGAAGAGAGACCACCACGCTGAGGGGGACCTGGCCAGCTTGAGAGGGACATGGTCTGGCTCTGGGGGAGGGGCTTGGTTCCTGAGGGGCCGGGTTTATCCCAGGCATGGGTGGGGCCTGATAGATAAGAAGGCTCTTTGAGGGGCCAAACACAATGGGGCCAATACCTTGAGAGGGTATGTAAGGGGTGGAGTTTTGGAGGCTGAGACTTCGAGACTCAAAGAGACTTTGAGACTTTGAGACCAAGGCTGAGACTTTGAGAAAGGCAGGCTTATCTCAAGAGGGGACGAAGCCTAGTAATGAGCTTGGTTAAGGCCACTGAGAAAGGAGCCTTTCACAGAAAGTTCTGTGAAGGGCGGGCTTGGCGTTGGAGTTCACAAGTCCCAGCTCAAAGACGAGCAAGGCCTGGAATCGTTTAAGTCTCGACAAGGCTCAGAAAGGGGCGGGGCTTGTCCCTGGGAGGTGGAGCTCGTTCCAGAGGCTGTCAGACCGCACCTTCCGCCCTTCGGCCGCCTCCAGGTAGAGATGGTAGAAAGGGAACAT